TCCCCACAGCTTGGGTCCCCATGACACCGCGGATGCAGATGTGAGGCTGCACGACTGCTGGTTTCCAATCTTCCTGGAACAGAGGCTTGGCTTTGCTGACAGGGGATAGGGCTCCAAAACTGTGTTTGTCCTGTGCCTATGAATTAGAGCTATTTTTAATCTTGTAGCCAGGCCTGCTTAAGAGGTTTTATGGCCTCTGCAGCTCTTCAAACTGCCTAGCATCTTCCTTTCTCCTCTGTTCAGTAAGTGTTAACCAGAATAACAGATATAATTCTATCCTTTCATCTTACAAAGATTTTGGGATCGTGTTTGGGTCTGGTTTGTTCTGAAAGCATGTACAGAACAGTTCTGAGGGGGTACAGGCTGTTGGCAGGGAGGCATGTATGAATGTGTACCTATATGCATGCACTACTACTTTCTGGTTCTCTGCTTAAATGTGGTCAATTCAATTTCTTCACCCCCTCACGTGTGTCCTTTGCCCAGATCTACTAAGCAAAGACAACCAGTTGTAAGTGAATTAAGCATTTAGTGGATCTATTTTATTTCTATACTCGAATGTAGGAAATTATGCTTTAAAAATTACCATTTTCCCCCATCCTGTTACCTACACCTCATGCTCATTAGAGACAAATATTTGCTCAAGAAGTGGAAAGCAGCTTTTTTGTTTATTCTAAGTGATAATAGAACAAGTTTTGGCCCAGAAAGAAAAGTCGTGGCTAGGCAGGAGAATGATTCCCAGCGTCAACCATATGTTGCATTCATCTAACTGAAGTGGCTTAATTACTGGTAGATGTTGCTGCGCTCATAAAGATAGCGCCAAGCTTTCTGCCAAGGTTGTTTGCTGATAATTGCATTTCCTGGGGGTAAAGGGGGTCCAAAAGACTTTCCCCTGATGAGTTTCCCTTTCAGTCTCCTGCTTAGGTAGGCACCACGGGGTTTGCATTGGGAGATGCTTGCCTGAAACAAAGCTCTGGAGGTCTCGCAGCGTTAAAGCTCCTGTCTTGGAAGTGCAGCAGCAGTCTCCCAAATGTGCAGCTTTCATCCCCTGGAGAGGTAGCAGTGGTTTGGGGTAGGTTATTCCTCTGAGAGCATAGCTGGCTTCAGCCTAGGATGGAAGCAGCTCAGATATAGACCTGTCTTTTTGTAGCTGCAATGAGCTGCAAGCTCGCTCCTTCTAGACCCTTGATATCTTGCATCCTTTCCAAAAAATACCCCCATCGTGAAATCCAAAGTGGGATTTGGGATTTCTCACTCAAGGGTAAGTGGGCTGGCCGTAACAACGGGCAGCCTCCCTCCGCTTCTGCCTATGCATTCTCATGATAAAGGGCACTTTAAAGCCCCTCTGACAATGAATGAGTCCTAGTTAAATATTTCAAGAACTTCTTTACATGGTTTCCTCTGATGCATGTACTGTTGAGACATCTGTCTTCAGTACTAATAAAGTAGTCTAGATTTAAAATGAACTTCATTGGATTGCTTTGAAACTATAGGCACATATGGTTCATAATTAGCTGGATATCTCTTATAGTTAAATGATTTTTTCCCCCCTCTCTCTCTCTCTCTGTCGCCCATTCGCATCAATAATAGAAGCAAACAAAGTTCCAATTGTTCCCTGTTGCGGGACATTATGTGCCTGAATAAATGGATGTTGGCTGTGTCTACATGGATTTGCCATATGGCTACAAAGGCCGAAAGAATAGGGGCAGTGTGCTTTGTGCCGGGGCGAGGCGGGCTGGGTGGAGCAGGGTGCGGGGCAGCCGCACACCTTCCTGCCCCGCATCCCATGGGGCTGGGCTCAGGCACCAGAGCTCCTCGCCTGGCCCGACGGCCCCCTGCCCATTCTGCTGGGATGCTCCGGGGACACCTCGGCACGGCTCCTGCGGCCGAGGTATTTGGGAGCTCAGAGCGGGGATTTTTTCATTGCAGAAAGTCCTATTATGAGTGGGGGGCTGGGACAATGGAGGTCCCAAAGGCACCTGCTTTCATGAAAGCGAGAGAAAAGCCCATAAATCCTGGAGGATCCAGCTGCCTCACTCCGGGTATTGTTGGCTTTCAGAAGGAAAGGGAAAAGCTATTTTTCTTTTCAAAGAGGGGGGAAAATCGTATTGAGGCAGCGGCCACTGATGCGGGCGCGTAAAATAATCCCGTTCTGATTAAGCGATCACGGAGCTGGAGGTAATCAATGTTACTTTTACAGCCGGGAGCGTTTCGTGGCCGTGACGGGGGGGCAAAGGCGAGCTCTGCGGGGGCCAGGGAGCACTGATGCGGGTTAAACCCTCGCCCTTCTTCTCCTGGCTGCCCCCCCTCTCATCCCCCCCAGCTCCGTGAAATAGCATCATTGCGCAGCTCCTAGGGCTTAAAAGGGATAAATCCAGCCAGCCGCTGCCCTCCTTTGCTCTCCAGCACCACCTGCGGCCAGGATCGGGCCCCCTGCGGGTGGTTGCCCCCCCCACCCCCCAGCATGGGGCTCAGGGCGCGTGCCCAGGGTGCCCCCCATGAGCTGCACAGGAGTGCGTAGCTGTGCCAGCACCAGGTGCTGTGCTCATGTGTTTTGCCTGGTGGCTGTTCTGCTCCCCACTTACACATATAGCTGGAATCACAGGATTTTCCTCAAAATTAATGCTGGGCTTAGACCAGAGGAATGGGGAAGCTTTTTCCTACAGTAGCCTGGGGTGGGGACATGCAGATTGCAAGGGTTGCCCGGTACAGAGCCTGCTGAGGGGCTGTGCCCACCCCATTCCCCCCCCCCCCCCCTTAGTGTGGGGCAGTCCCACACCCTGGAGGGGTCTTGGGGCCAGCTTTGGCAAGAGGAGAAGGGAAAAACAAGTGTAGAAAGGCTGAATTTGGGGCTTCTATGGGTGCATGTTCCCTACCTCACTTTGTTAACTCCAGCAGCGCTAACACATGTGTGTTCACAAGCCACCAACTCCTTTCCTTCAGCAACTGGGGGCAGCTTTGAGCACAGGGGGTGTGGATGCAGCCACAATGCATGGAGCAACACGGGCTTGGGCCCCACTGATCACAGCCACCCCCCCGGGACATCTGCACAGCACACACCAAGCAGCATTGCAAGGGTTTCCTGGATTTTTTTTATTATTACTATTTGAAGTTGTGGCATTATTTGCAATGACAGTGGTACAAACCAGCTCAGGAACCATTGAAACAGTTTTGTATTCAAGTAAAGTCTAAAAAATGTTTTGATTTCATAACTACATCTTGTGAATGCAAAAAAAAAAAAATCCCACTATAAAAATAAATTTACATTTTGTAAATAACAAAAGCAAATATAGTGCCCTTTGGCTTAACCAAAAGAAAAAAAAAAAAAACGACTATTGGATGTCAACCAGTTATCAACATTTCTGACATAAATAGAAAATATAAGTTAGTATAACTCTTAAAAAACGTTTTTGTACAAATATACACTTGCTTTTTTCTTTTTTTTTTCCTCCACCTTTTCTTTTTTTTTTTCCTTGCACTGAGAGCTCAGAGATTAAACATTTCATATAAGTGACTTTTAAAGCTTTACACTTTCGACCAGTGTACTCACATTAGGCATAATACATTTCTATATAGAACGTAATACATTGCACAGTTGTACGGTAACACTGCTCCGTGCGCGGCCGGGCGCTGCGCCTGCGGCTCCGGCTCCGCTCCGGTTTCGCTCCGGCTCCGCTCCGGGGCCCGGGCCGGGCGGGGGGGCCCCAGTTGGCCGTGCCTGGGGGGCGCCTCGCCCCCGGGGCTGCGCGCCTGTCCCGTGGGTGCCGTAGTGCAAAAATCTATGGGGGGGACGGGGAAAAAAAAAATTATGATGGGGTAAGAAAATTAATAGGAAGCCCCCTCCCGAGCATCATCCTCCCCCCACGGGTGCTCCTCACCTGGCTCACCGGAGCCGCTTGCGGGGGGTCTGCTCAGCCGGCACGGCGGCGGGGGGGGACGCGCAGCCGGGGGGGTGCTCGGCCGCTGCCTTGGGCTGCGCCGGCCGTTTCCTCCTGGCGAAGAAATCTGGAGGGGGGGGACGTCGAGAGAGGGGGCGTCAGCGAGGCGGAGGGGGTACACCGGGGGGAAAAAAAAAAAGGTGGGGGAACCCGACTCCCCGCTCCCCCCGTCGGGGCACGCACCTGTGATGCGGGTGGCGGGGCTGCTCCGTCTGACGGCGCGGCGGCGGGGAGCGGGGGGCGCAGCACGGTTCTCCCGGCTCAGCCGCCCCCCCGACGCCCCCGAAGCCCCCTTGCCGGCGGCGGGGGGCGACGGTGCCGGGGGAGCCCGGCGCAGGGGGACCCGACGGCGCCCCACCTGCAGGGTCTCCCGGTAGAAAGCGGGCACGGCGCTGCCTTCCACCTCCTCCCACCGCAAGCGGCCGGGCGCGGGGGGCAGCGGGGTGTCGGTGTGGAAGTTGTAGTCCCAGCGGCGCTGGTCGGCCTCGCCCATCTCCCGCAGGCGGCTCCGCAGCTCCCGGCCCAGCTCCTCGTGGTCCACCGGCCCGAAGAGGCTCCTGCAGACGGCGCTGCGGTCGTGGCCGGCCAGCAGCGCCCGTCGGGCCGCCAGGCGCTCCAGGGCCGGGGGGCCGGAGAGATGCACGTCGGCCATGGGTGCGTGGAGGGGGGGGTGCGTGGCTGGCTGGCTGCGTGGGGGCCCCCCGCCGCTCCTCCTCGCCGCCCGTCCCGTCGCGTCGCGTCCCGCAGCCCTGTCTCCCCGCCTCTGAGCCCCTTCCCCCGGCCGCCTCGCTTTTAAACCCCGCTCCCCTCGAGGCCGAGCAAAACACCCATTAGCAGCACGGCGTTGCCCTGCCAGCAGCCCGCCGCGATTGGCGGCGGCCCCCCCGCCGCCCCCCCGGCCCCCGACGGCAGCCCTCCTGCCCGCGCCCTCCATTGGCTGCGCCGGGCAGCGCCGCTCCGCCGCCGGCCGCATTGGCCCGGCCCGGCCCGGCCCCGCCGCATCGGCCCGGGGGGGGCGGCCCCGGCGCTGGCCCGGCCCCGGGGGGGCGGCCGCGGAGCTCCCCGCCCGCCGCCGCCGCCTTTGTCTGCCGCCGGCCGCGGCTCCGCCGCCGCCTCCCCGGCGATTTTCGGGCTTGTTTTTATCCCCTCCCTCCTGCCTTGCCAGCCCGGAGGGGGGGGGTGTGTGTATGTCTGTGGCATCATCGTTATGTTTCAGCCTTTTTACTTTTTTAATTATTATTTTTTTTTCTTTTCCCCGAGGGGACGTTTTGCAGCATCCGTAGGGCGCGGGGGGGGGGGAAGGGGGGAGGACAGCGGGACCGCTGCCGGCTCGGGGTTTTTATTACGCTGCTGCAAAACAAAGCGGGATGCTTGCAGATCTCAAAACAAGCTGAGGGCTATTTTTAAAAATAGGACTGCTCGGCTGCATGGAAGTAATAAGTCGCAGCCTCGCTGAATAGAAATACATGAAAACCACAGCATTTTCCTCTCCTAACTTTTAAACCCACATAATACATGTTTGTTCACTGCAGATGAACTAATCTCGCTATTGTGTTGCCACGGATCAGCTGGCTTGCACTTCACATTTTCTGCAGGTCACTGCAGTCATTGCCTTTTGTTGTTTTGGGATGGGGGAGTGCAAAAGGAAGGGGGGGGCAGAGGGAGCATGATCGGACACGGTGCCAAGACTGGGCTTGGAGCACCATCATCGGAGGCTTGGTGCCGCGGTGAGCTTCTCTGCAAGCAAGGAGGGAAGATAAGTACCCAAGATGCCCTTTGCCCTTTGCTCCTCTGCACTGTTTTCCCCATGTCTGTGGCCATTGCCAACCACATCTTAAGCCCCACTCCCAAGGAGTGGCAGGGCCCAGTGGTGCCCCCTGTTTGGGACCCGTGGTGTCCCCAGTTTGGGACCCATGAGGCCAGGGAGGGGTCTTTCAGCACCCAGGCTTTGAAATGTCACAGCAAGCTTGGTCTCCCAACATCATTTCTGATGTCTGTGGGGGCAGGAGGGCTCTCAGGCAGAGCTCTGTAGGTCTATAGCTTTGCAGTGGTGAGAAGATTACACCACAAACATGTTCAGGGTGCAGGTCCTCTGGGCACGCTTTGGTTTGTGGGTCATGCCCCAGGTCACTCACTTCACAGCTCGGTAGCACAGGTGCTTTAGAACAGGTGAAGGCATTTATCCTTTTTAAGATAGCTGTTTGGGTGTGTCTCAACAGGTAGTCTTGGTTTCTTGTGTGAGGCAGACTGATGTGGAAGTACCACCACAGTGTCCTTCCTGAAGTGGCCCCCAGGAGGTCTCCTGGCCCAAGGGATGTCACCCAAGCAGCTCCCAAGAAGGCCCTTGTGGTGGCTCCGTGTCTGAATGGGTGGTAGGTGAGTGTGGATCAGCGAGGGTCAGGCCAGGGCAAGAAGAGAAGGCAAGGAACCATGCTACTGTGACAAGGGAGTGTGTTGGCCATGGCACCATGTCCAGCTGAGCCACCTCTCCCCACCCCAAGGGGCGGGCTGGGTTTAGAAATAAACTGCACAGAGCGGGAAACCTGATGAAAAAGTGCTCTCTATTCAAGTCGGAGCAAAATGGTGGTGGTCAGGTCCCTGCAGACAGGAGCTCTTTGTGAGGAGCCCTTGCTAACCTGCTGTGGTCCTCCTGGACGCCTTTCCTGTTTTCAGCTTCCTCGGTTTTATGCATTCCTGTGACAGAGGCTGAGCGAGCAAACTTCCCTGCTATTTGCAAGATGTGGGCGTGCGCTCTGAAAACCTTCGTCTCGGGCCTTCCAAAGCATTTTCGGAGGTTAGCCAATATTTACGTAGCGCTCGAGGGATGCGAGGAGCTCTGCTTTAGCAGGAAAGTGTTTGCAGGGGTTACCACGGGTGGGAGGCCACTTTGCCTTCCAGCTCACCTGGGAGGTAATGCAGGTCGAGTTCAAGGTTTTAGTGTCTGGTGGACTAAAATCTTCCTCATTCCTGGTGCTCTCCATCTCTTTGATGTGATTTTATTTATTTATTTGTGTGTGTGTGTGTGTGTCTGGTAATATGACATTGGTGGTGACAATGGGGGGGACTTTGTGCTTTCAGCTGCCATTTCTGGCAGTGTCTGAGCTTATCTTCTGCATGGAAGATGAGCATCTAGCTTGTGCAAGAAGGGAGCGCTGTCTGCACAGAGATGTGGTGTAAATTTAGTGAGTTTGTGAACTTTAAGGCCAGAGGGATATGGTATGAGCCACTAGATGAGCAGTTTGCCCAACATGAGCCACAAAGCCTTACCCAAGGGCCCATTCACTTCTTTGGAAATTCCCGCTCCAGTGTAGAGTGGAGGAGTCATCGTTATGCTTAGAACAATGCCCTGTAAGAATGAAGCATTTTTGCTCAAAAAGGCCGATTAGCTCTGCATACCCAGAACCATATCTGCTGATGTTGGAGAAAACAATGATTTGAGTATGTACTCCTGCTGGCTGCTCTGTTTAGGATGGTGAGGGAAGGAAAGCGAGCTCCTTTATGGCTTGTATATCATTGCAAGGATTGTGACTGCAGGAGGTTTACTGTGTTTGTTCCTGTTTGGAAGGAGTCCAGGGTGGCCGTCAGAGCCAGGGCCGAGGTTGCTGCCTTGGCAGATAGGGGAGGAAAGGTCCTCATGCTGCAAAGCGAGTGAGAAGCAAGTGAGCCCATTGAGTGATGTTAAGGTGTTAGTAAAGTAACAAATCAGAGACTTCCTGTAATGTCATTCTGGCAGGGCTGGTGATTGTAGAGCTGCAGTTTAACTTCTTCACAGTAGAGGGGTGGTGGAAGCAAACACATCCCCATGACACTCCTCCATCTGCTGGAGTCTCAGCATCTCCTGCATGAACGGTCCAGTTCTTGAAGTACTGCCAGACAAACAGACCCAGGTTCTGGGTTCAAGGCTTCTACTTTGGTCCCATCTCAGTTCCTTAAACAGAGCTTTGTCCTATACACCTAACAATGGTTAACTCAGAATTAATTTAGTGCAGTCTAAATGTACTCGCTTTACTTCAGGAGCTGTTGCATATGATAATGGTTCTAGCAGAGATGCAGAGCAGTAAACACTAGTACTTTATCACCCATGCAATTCTCTTTTACTGTGCATGTGATCACATGTGGTTTGCAGTTTTGCATTTATACCAGTGGCAATTTTGTGTGGTACTTTGGAGTCCTGCTTAAATAAGCCACAACTGAAGTTCAAGCCAGTGCAGGCTGTCAAGGCTTCTGCTCTGGGCTCTTTTACCATCTAAGCGACCTTTTGAATTATTAAAGCCCACATACATTCAGAACAGCAATAAAAAGTCAAGTTATTTGATTTGATAGCTAGGCAAAAACATGCTAGTTCAGGGGTTAAAACGTGGGTGGATAATTTGAACAAAACCCTGAAAAAATGCTGAAAAAATGGTTTTGTTCAGTTTAGATTGCTTCATGTTCCTTGATGAATTTTCAGAAAAGCGCTTTATTTTATTTAATTTTACTTAATTCCCCCCTTCCCTCTCCCCCACTTTTTATTTTTTTTTATTTCTTCTTGGCTCTGGGAAGAAGCTAGCCTTGCTGTACTGCTGCCCCTTTGCTTTTCATAGTGGATCCATGGTAATAGCACTCTCAGAATAGCTTTTTGGGTCTCTTCCAACTAGGGATATTTTATGCTTCTATAGGTTGTTTCTTATTCCTGTACTGGGGGAGGGCCTGTTACCCCAGTTTTATTTTCAATGTACTGTTTCTTAGGTGAATGCTACATCGATGCTGGCAGTTGTGCATGACTGCTGAAGGAGATCGCTCATGGCCTCAGCTCCTGCAGGAAGTACCTGATCCAAAAAAACAAGCCCAGGAAGAGCAGGAGGCACATCAGGAGTATCCTCAGATGGATCCCAGCCACATCTAAAGGAAACAAAACCTACATTAAAAAAAATAATAATAATAAAATTAAAAAAAAAAAATCCCAGCCCTGGAAGATGCAGCCTGACCGTGCCCGGGCTGGCCCCGATGCACGGGGCAATGGTGCCCTCTAATGTCGGCCGGCCCGGCAGAGCCGCCCGCTGCCCCCCGGCGATGCCAGGTGCCCGGGTGGGCTCTGGAAGGGGCTGCGGGTCTTAAATCCGTCAGGAGTGTGGGGAACTGCCAGGGTACCAAAATGCATGGCAGCCAAATTCACCCGCATCTAGGTTTCGCAGGTTTTTCCGAGCCCGTTTGACTCCTTGGCAAGACCTCTGGATGGGAGACTGCCTTCAGCTCAAGCTGTGAAAATGAGGTTAAGGTGCACATCGTCCAGCTCCCCAGGCTGGGTTCCCTCTTGTTTGCCGCTCCCTCAGATCCCTGTGATGGGTTGTGAGATAGCCTGCAATGACGCAGCGAGGTGAGATAATTCCCCCCACCCCCTGGCCTCCCGTATGCAATTCTTTAATTAATTTATCTCCTCGCCTACAGCTTTACATTTGTGTTCAGCATAGTAACTTTCTGAAGACACGGCACTGAAGCTTTCCCTAATCTCAAGAAGTGATCGTTTTGTAATCTGCCTCGTGGATTCCTGGTGTTAACGTTGCTGCAGGCTCTGAACAAGGACCAAGTACAACACAGCCGGCGGTGAACCTGCAAGGGAGTGGGTTGGTGGGCTCCCGGGGGGAGTCCATCACATTCCTCCTGCAGCCAGTCTAACTGTACGGAGGCTGCCCTGCCCGCAGTACGGTATGTGTTCAGATAGGGCAGGGAGTTAATTGTAGCTGGCATAGCACTATAAACACGCTTATGTCATGTTGTAATTGGCTCTTGGTGAAACAGCTTCACAAAGGTGCAATCAAAGGTAGGCTTTTGCCCCGATGCTAGTAGGTATCTTGCTGTCCTCCAGCAGGCAGCTTTGCCAGCATGAGCATTACGATTCTCTTGGTCAAGTCACACAGTAACATATTCTGCACAGAGTCTCCCCATGTTGTTTAAAGTCAAAGAGAGAATCTTATCTCCAACACAAGCATGGTTTCTGTCCTGGGAAGAACATAAATGAGCCCTGATTATTTATAAATAAGCATGTGCCCTGCACAGCAAAGCCTGTGCGTACAGTGGCACATGGTGGCATTTCAGACTGACGTGGTACAAATACTTAGAGCATGAACCATGTTCTCAAACATTGCCATAACTGAGTGAGTCAGAAACAAATGTGTTTGCTAACAGCAAAAGCAGCAGAGGAGCTGGATGCAAAAGACTGAAGGAAAAAGTCCCAATAGCAAATTTGATCTAGGTCCTTTCTTCTTGGCGTACCACAAGCACTGAGCCAGTCCATGGTTTCTGAGGGTGCTTCCAGCAAGGGGGATGCAGTGGTGGCTTCATTTGTGTGGAGCTGGATGGATTTTTGGCAAATGATTTATTGCTGAGGCTCAGGAGGAGTATAATCCTTCATGCTGTCCTGGCTGTGTTGGGCAGAGAGGAGTGGAAATGATTAAATCCTTCTTGTTTCATCTTGACGGTTAGGAGGAGAGAGTCTGGGCAGCATTGCAGAGGAGATTGGTGTCCCTTTGAATAGGAATCTCCAGCACCTGGTCAACACAGGAAGGCAGTGGGAATTTCCTCCTAGCACCCTCCCTTACAGGGACTAACAGAGATAATCCTACTGCTGTCTGCTTGGGCATTAGGAAAACAAGCTGGCCACTTGTTGCAGCAGCACCTTTTTTCTTTGTTTCAAATACCTGAGTATTGGCAAAATGCTCTGGTCCCACCACTGCTTTGGCATGGCCAGTGCTGAACCTGCTTGGACTGCAAATTTGCAGGGTTTGCTTCATTTCTGGGAAAGGCCTATGATGGGTCCTAGTTTTAGTGCATGGAGACTTTTATGTTGAGAATCGTGTGCTCTGGAAAATGACTGTGTGAAGCAGAGAGCATAGCTCCAGGTGAGCTACTCTTGTGCTATTCCAGCCCTCTCCAACAGCATGCAAAGTTTGCTCTGATTCTGCACAAATAAGAAAATCTCTTTCAGCGGGCCTAGTGCTGTTTCTAACTTCTGAAGAAGTTCTGAAGAACTGCTGTAAGCAATGAGCCCAAAGTTATGTTGATTTCTTTTTGTGTTGGGCAAATTCGAGCTGAGGGAGGGTGGGAAGGCCAGGAGGAAACAGTGAAGGGTCTCCAAAGTCTTCCTGTGGTTTGAACTGAAACATAGTGGAGAAACCATACCTCTTGTATCCCTAGCTAAAATCAAAATTGTGAGTGTTATCCCCAGGCAGAGCTGGCTACAGCTTCTATGCCTGGTATAGGTGATGTGAGCCTGGCTGGCAAAATACAAACACTGCTGGTGTCTGGCCACCTCGGGAGATGTCACCATCTCTAAGCTGCTGATAAATCCAGCCCTGCATGCTTACGGATAACCCTCCTCCCTTGTCCTGCCTTGTCCATGTGTGAGCAGTGAACGTCTGCACTGTAGGGTTGTCCAACCCACAGAGCAGAAGGAGCTGGGCACCGGGCAGCCGCCCCCTTTTCTCCACATCCCAAGGAATCTTCACGGAGGTCTGGAGACCTCATGGAGAAACCAGCCAGAGGAATGGGAGGGGATGCACATCTCCCCTGGCCCACGAGCAGATAGGGGCTTGTCTGGGAATGTAGCACAGACCCTCCTCTGTGCAGGGAAACCATGGTCGGGATGTACAAGGTTTTACAGACACATGCTTTGCAGCTCTCTAATTGCCTTGTGCAGAAACATACATTAGCAGGAACATTAAATACACATCCGTGTTTTGTTTGTGCTGGGTATAGCTTAGTTGGACGGCTAACCAACAGAGAGATTTTTGTTACATTGTGTTGCTGGTGGTCTCTCAAATGCCTGAGAGTTATAAATCAGGCAATTGTTTGATTCTGACACAGGAAAATGTTTTGGTAAATGCAGGAGGCTCAAGACTAGCTGAAAATGTCTCAGGCTCCCATTGTTTGCAGAATGTAATGTGTGCAGAGGAAATCTACAGCATTCCTGTGACAAACCGCAACAAGAAGCTTCATACAGCCCAAATCATTTACAATTCTCATATAAATTATAATGGCTTAAATGTTATTTAAATGATAAACAGCTTTTGCATTCCAGACATTGCTGTGATTCCAGAAGGTGGCTGTATAATACCAGTTGAATGAAACATTGCATATTGAGGGCTGAACGTGAGGCTTTATTTGCCTGTATCCGTTTTTGTCACATCTAGCATGTTCTTTGGATGAGGACCTTGGACTCCCAAAGTACTGTGTGTATCTTGGAGAGTGGGGCTCCATCCATTATCCAGCAGCGAGCTGTCTGGAGGTCGGTCACGCCAACGTGCCTGTAGGCTGAAGACACAACCCCAGAGAGAGCAGAAGTGTCCATCATTCCTGGCCATCCCCAGGGGCACCACTGGGGGACATCACCCCTTGCCCAGGAGGGACAGACCCATTGAGAGACCCCATGGGCTGCAGCACTCACCCGGCCTAGGATTTCAGTGTGGGAGGAGTCTTTTTTTCTGTTTTTTTTTTTTTTTTTTTTTTTTTTTTTTTTTTCTTGCTGATTCCTCAGTAACTCAGTATGACAGACCGCTGCAGACTGGTGGCATTTGCTATCTTTTCAGGCTTTCACTTGGAGGAGTAGGTTGGTGGCTGATCTCCAGATTTGGCCAGCACCCCTTCTCTTTAGGAGCAGCTGACTGAAACTCAAGGGCTCTCCATTCCCCCAGGAGAGATTTGGGGGCAGAGATGGGCCATGGCAGCACCTGGGAGAAGACTGTCCCAGCAAGGTCCTGCTGGAGCTGGTAAGACTGGATGGGTGCAAAGAGCTGAGAGTTTTCATCCTATTTGGTCATGTTATTCTTGGTGTGACTCTCCTGAATTCAGGCTGTGGTATTTTTTCCAAAACCCTTCTACAGTTGACAAAGTCTTTACCCCATGCGCTTGTTTGGAGGTCAGATTCCAGCATTCAGAAATGTTCTCTTCTGGTTTAATTTATCCAGAGTATGAGAGAGGCAGTTTCTACTGCCCTGTGGTTAAGCAGCAGGACTGGCGTCCAAAGGATGATCAAATCTGATTCCAGCCTCTTCCACAGACTTCCTCTGATTTCAGACCAGCCATCACACCCTGCTGGCTGTTAGTATCCCATCTGCAAGGCAAGGAGGATCCAATTCTTTTCCCTCATCCAAGTCTGGAGCTCTTTTTGTGTTTGCAAGGCACCAGACGGGGCCTTGGTATTAGATGGAGCTTTGGGACTTTACCATTAAAAAGTCAGTAATAACCAGCCCTATTTCAGATAAAATGTGATTTGCAGTTTAATACGCTAAGTAACAAAGACTTTACCAAAAGAATGAACAATGGGCTTTTTCCATTTCACAAAATAATTTGCCAGGCAGAATAAGCACACCAGCATTTTTATAAAAACAAATTATAAATAATTGCTTTTTGCAATTTAATACACACATAGAAAGAGCCAAAGGAGTTCTGCAGCCACTGGGAATCTGATTTCATTGCCGATTTGGACTGTCTCCGTAGTTTTTATGAAAATCCCTGAAGACTGTGCTATTTTGTAAACTAAACATGGCCTTTTTTTTTTTTTTTTTTTTTTTTTTTTGCTGGCCATGTGGATTCTTTTTCCATTCATTAGTAAGCTGCTTTTTTTTTTTTTTTTTTTTTTTTTTTTTTTTTTTTGTGAACAATTAAACAAAAGAATAAATCAGTCAACAAGCATGGGACATAATAATTCTGGCTGTCCTGGGCCATATACACTCTTATTTGCTCAACAGTATAAATCTTTCAGCAGACTACAGATGAGCCCATTGCACTTGGGGGTGGGGAAAGGAGGGATGTCCCGATGCACTGAGCAACACCAGCCTGTGGAGCACCTTGGGTTCTCATCAGGAGAGCATTTCTTGACCAGAAGCATTGTGGTCTCCTTCCTGGGCTGCTCCTACAATGCAGGTGGGTTCAGAGGTATTTGGGAATTGCTTCAGGGTATTGGTTCCTTCTCTTCTCCCATGCTTTGGACATAATGGTTCCCAGGGGGTCGTGTTTCCATAAGGGTTCTTGTTTGGTTGGTTGTTTTTTGTTGTTGTTGTTCTGTAGGAGAATTTGACTCATCCCACTGTTTTTTTTATTTTGATTTGTTTTTTCTTTCTCATAGAGGGAGAGCTCACATTGACAGACAATTTGATGCCTGAGAGATGCCTATCACTGCTGGCTAGCACTTCTGTGCCCCTTAAATGCTCTTTTGAGGCTGTAAATCTTTTTCTGACAGGTAAATCCCACCCAGAGCACTTCATGTAATTCCAGGTCATATTAACCTTCCTCTGTCAGAAAACTCAATCTGATGGAAGGATCCAGGACTCATTTCCTCACAATTTACCCTTTTTCAACCAATATTTTCAACTGCTGGTGTTGCTGTGGGTGGGTTTCCCCTCTCCATGTACTTCTAGCTGGCCTTGCTTCCCATCTCCAGTGATTTGAGAAAGATTTCTGCCCAAGTAACATAAACACTTAGTCTTTACCATTTTTTAAAAGATGTTCTCAGGTTTCTCACTCTATTTTTCCACAGATCACCAGATAAATAGGCCTCAGGAAAGCTATACCAGGGAGGGCAACTATAAATACTTCAAAATGTTGAGAATAAGTGTCAAGACTTAATGCATAGCTAATAGCCTAATCTGCAGTTTAATCACAAGACCTTTACATTTATCTCCTCACTTGCTTTCAGCGCAGTCTCCCTGGGATATCTGTCCATTTAAAGTTTATTTATGATACCCAAGAAAATTAATCTGCTATTCATAATGTATTCCTCCCCATTTTTAAAATTAAACTTTGTTCTTTAAATATGACTTGTCAGTGGCTGAGTGCTACATGGGGTGTAAATCCACCGCTAATCTAAAAAGTGCCTTTACCTTAAAATGCAACGCCAGCCTACACCACCCATTATATCATTATCATTACAGATACAGACGAGCTGCCCCCCCGCTGGATAAATCCCCTGGGCAGGATGAGGCTCATCTGTGGAGGGAGCGGGCATTTGATGGAGAGAGGCTGCATGTGCAAGTCATTGCTTTAGTGGGATCTGTTTTCAGTTGCTGCTGAGACAAACTTACCAGTCAAAATATTGCAGCTTTTCAAGTCCAAGTCAGCAACATTTCCTGTAAGCAGTGTTTTACATTGTATTTGCGTGAGTCGCTTTTGTGATTGTCTCAAAACCTCGGTAAAGAGAGCTCTGTCATTAATTTTACTCTTCTATTCAATGCTGGCGATTTGTACATTGTGCCTGTCCAGTGCAAACCAGGAAGTTTTATTTGACAATGTTGCTGCTGTGCTGCAGGAAACCCAAAGAGCAGAAAAAGCCATTGTTCTGTGCTTAGATGAACTCAATGCCAGGCACCAATCCTTTGCTAAATTGGGATGCACTCTGGGTAACCTTCCTTCTTCAGTAACAGATATGACTCCTAAACTGCCCCAAGCTGGGTCTGCTCGAGTGGTCGCAGTGGTATAGGAACGTCACTCCTTAAAAGTGCTTTTTCACTTGCTCCAAATGTGTTTGCAGAAGGTTGTTCCTGGGCAGCCTCCAGCACTATGGCACCAGCCCCTGGTGAATCATTAATCTCTTGGCCTTCCCCTCACTCACCGGGAGTCAGAGCCCAACAGCCTTCCCCAAATCACCAGGCTCTGCGGAGTAAGAAACTGCCCAGATGTCTCACAGCTCCTTCTCCCTGGGCTTAGCTAGACACCTGGCAGCCCTGAGATCTGCTCCACGTGCAAGCCAGCAAAGGTACGTATTTGTCTCTGGATTCAGCCTTTGTGGTGAGTTAAGTCTCCGTTTCCACACAGAGGTGCTCCTCAACAAGCAGCTGGTTGATGTGCTCAGTGATAGAGCCTCAAACCAGAAGGTCTGCAAGAAATGTGAGAATGTGAGAGCTGGACTGACCAAAGCCTTAAGAATTTCAAGAAGTCAAACGTTCACTTGTGTATGTGCTAGGAAAACAAACAAACAAACAAAAAAAAAACAACAGAGCTGAGCCAGTTTGTTTAAGCAGGACAGTGGACGAGGTCTCCTGAGGTCCCTTCCCAGCAACAGCCCCACGATTCTACAAATTCAGGGTGCTGGGATCTCTGTTTTCTGTTCCTCTTTAAAATACCAATAATGCTCAACCAGACCCCCAGGCTTTAGCAAGTAAGCAAACAAATAAAACCGGAAGCAGACAAGCAAGGAAACAAACAAACAACAACAACAACAACAACAAAACCCTAAGCACTCAAGCAAGCAAGCAAATAAACATAACCCCCAAAGGACAAATGTGTCTTGTTTGTTTATTTTAATCTTCCAGTTTGCAGTCAGCCTCCTAATTAGTGTGGATTTAATACATTTTTAAAAATTTATTTATGTTTTGGTTTTGGCTAGTAATTTGTAGTCTGAGTGGAGTCATATGTGAACATTTCCTAGCTCAGGCTCTCTATAAATTTTTACCACCTGGTGCAGTGGGGAGAAAAGGTTCAGCTGGAGATCCTGGTAAAAACAACTGGAGCTGCATGTAAGAGTGGTGTTTGGCTAGGATCTATGTAAATATATTGCTGGAAGTATGAGGACTTGGAGACAGCCACTTTGCTGTGAGCTTCACTTGAAACCTCCAGAAATGAAACCTAAGTGCTTTCCATGAAGGATAAAACCAGTCATCTCTTCTGAGCCACCAGAGATAATGGAAGTGAAAGAAGTGAAGGAGTTAAAGAGCTGAAGGCTTTGTCACATGCTCTCGGTTGGGGCAATGTCCACTTTTACCCTGCTGGGGTTCTCAAGCCAGTCTTTGCTGTGATGGTCCTCTGAGCAATGCCTACCTGGGACAAGGCTGAAGAATGAGATCAGTGGCTCAATAAGTGGTTGCCTTTGATCCTGCCTGAGAAGTAAATGAAAGAAAGGAGGATAAAAAAAAAAAAAAAAAAAAAGGAAAGAAAATCCCTGCCGATCTGACTCAGCATATTTCACACTGTTAAGCTTTGAACTGTAAACACAGCATTTGTACCTTTTGTATACTCCACGTTCCCAGCCAGGACGCACCTTGGTACCACTTTTCAGCCCAGCAGCCTGCAGTAAGTCACCCCTTGAGCACTGCGAGTGAAAAAGCCACCTCGGGAGGTGAGGAGGAAGCCTGGAGGATGAAGAGTGAGACACAGGGGGAGAGCAAGCACATGGGAGAGCTCAAGAGGGGACAAGTCATCCTTGTCACCTACCTGATAGCAACCATAGAGCTGACCTTCGTGTTCATGCAGCTTGGAGTCATGCCTGTGAGTATGGGTTGCTGGGTTTTATGGCACTTCTTACCTTCAGTGCCAATTGTGAAGTCTTCTAGCAAAGTCAGAAGGGACTTTTCTAGAAGAAAAAAGAGGAAAGTATATTCCTATCTAGTAGGCAAGCTGTGACTGTATTCAGGGTGTGCAGCTGCTTTATTGTACTGCAGTAACACCTAGAGCCCTTTCCCGGTCTGAGAGCCCTGCTTGAGGCTGATGTCTCCTGGCTGTTTTTGCTAGGGTGGGACCTGGGAGTGGTGAGAGACCCAACAAGCTGTCAGGAGGGCTCAGAGGTAGGTTTTCTGACAGCATTATGCTCTCACCGCAGGGCAAACTGCCAGCAGTGAGGAGTAAGCGTGGCTTGAAACAGTAGGAGCTCTTGGATGTGGCTGAGCTAAGCAGAAGGATAAGAGAAGGGGTGGAGGGACAGAAGCTGTGGGTGGTGCTGAGTGGACAAAGGAGTGCATCAGTATCTCCTGTGGATAGCAGAGATGCTGCCACAACCACAGAGAAGGGAGCAGCAATGGTCAAAATATGGCTTGTTGGAAAGGAGATACCAAGTGCAGTCCCCATCTCTCCAGGCCCTGTATTTTGTGTGTCTTTTTTCCATACTCATCCACTTCCTGGTGTTTCTTTCCAATCTGTGAGTTCCTGGATCCATGACATAGCTGTCCGTCCTTGTCTCTGGTCAGTCCATGCTTTCTGTTACATCTCTGCTGCATTTGTGCCTCCAGAGGCAAACTGCTCTCTCCTTCCAGGACCAAGACAACCCCATGGTGTCCTGAGCCTGTAGGCTGGGAGTGTTTATTTGTGGTGGCTCTTCAGGGTTTGCATCTCTTTTCTTTTTGTGGGCATCCCATGCAGACCAAAGGCCACGTTTTTGCCCATATGTTGCTTGCTTTGTTAAACAACATCTCCAAGACCTGGGTGCTGGGTCTGCAGACAGGAGAAGGCTGGTTAGTGCCTACCTCATCCCTGTGTGCAGAGCCTGAATGGTAAAGGGTCTGCCTCAGGTTTGGCTGTGTTGGACCACACATGTAAAAAGTGATTCAGATCCGACACCTGGTTCTAAACTGATGGTTTTGATCACATCCTGCTTATTTTCATCAGCAGATGATATGGGCTAGAGGCTTTGTATTTATTCAGAAGCCTGAGACAATAAAAGTTGCATCTGTAGGTATGGAGAGCTGAAGTAAGCAATCGTTTGAAGCCACAGTCCTCTATGTGCAGAAACGAAGCTCTTTTTTCAGAAACATAATATACTTCAATTCCCCTGATCCATTTTTTTTTTTTTTCTTTTTCTTTTCCAGTACTTGGCAAAGAGCCTGGGTTTGGATTCGGTGGGGTTTGGCTACCTCCAGACAACCTTTGGTGTCCTCCAGCTCGTGGGAGGTCCCATTTTCGGAAGGTAAGGGAGAACAATTCTCATGACCCTTTTTGTGGCTGAAAAAGGCCAGACTTTTTTTTTTATATTTTAATCATAAAAATGTTTAGTTCTGGTTCATGGTCCTGCTGAAGTGTTTGAAGACTTCATAAATGAACAATGGGAAAATAAATACTGTAAGTAGAAATACCACAATGTCGAAGCAACCTTTATATTAACTTAGCTATGTTTTAATGGCACACATTTAAGTGTAACAATATACTGGGAACAGGCTTAAGCCATCAGAATCCTCAGAGCCCAGGTCCTAATGGCTTAATCCTGCAAGCATTTTATAAGCATGTGTAACCTTAGAAATGTCCTGTGACTGGGAAACTTAGGGAAAAAAGGTATTTATTCTTGTTAAGTAGAGCTGTCAATGAAAAGACTGAGGATCATGTTATTTCTAAGGCTGAATCTCACTGAATCTACATTAGGGTGTAATACAGAGCTAAAATTCCTCAGAGTTTGGGTGAATTTTTAAGAACTGATCTATCTACAAGTTCATCTGCAGAAATAGGAAAAGAGTGGGAAAGACTCAGGTTTTCTGCCTACATCATGGGACATTTGTTCCTGTTCTTAATGAAAAGTGAATGGCAAGAAAAATCCTAGAGTGGCAGGGGAATCTATTCCCTAAAAGCAGAAAACTTGAACTAGCAGTGTGACCCAGCAATGGAGAAACTAAAATGAGATTGAGAAAAATCTAGCTTTTCTCCTTAGTTCTGCTGCCAATCAGCAAGTGATGCATGGATATGGTGCTAGTATGCGCTGTAGTTTCCCTTTGTGGGATTTTACCTTTGTGATTGACTTGGGTTGTGAGTTCTGCTGTGTCCTCTAGTAGGCAGTGTGTAGCACCTCAAGGACCTGACATCTCAAAGCCTTTTGATGATACCATAATGCCTGTTTTAATACTTGAATGCCCATTTGAATGTTACTCCTTTTAATATAGAAAACTAGAGAGTAGCATTTATGTTTTGGACCTGAGATATCTGATATCTGTTTTTTTCCTCTGTGCATGTCACTCACTAATGTTCAAAAAAGACACTGAAGGGAATGGGAAAAGGCAAAGAAAAATTCATGTGTGCCTGGCTTCCTGCTGGTGCAAGTGTGTGTTGCCAGATTGAAGCCAAAATTTGTGACGTAGGTTTGAGATGAAAAGGATTTTCCTATATGTGAGACTGCTTTGTCCTCAATGTGAATGTAGACAAAGAGAAAATGGGATGGATAAGAAATAGAAAAATGTTGAGTTTAGGTCGGTTCTTGTACATCTTGCCTGGTGCTGCCAAACAGCCATGATATGATGAAGCACTGAAATTACCCTTTAAAAACAAAACCAAAAAAGCCTTGGACTATCCAGTAGATTGAGGTCTGTAGGTTACAAATAGCTATTATTAGCTTCCCTGAGTAAGTAGAAGTTCTGACCTGAGCCTCCTCCTTAACATGAGTCCCTCTGATTCCTTATGCTTAACTCTGTTTGCAGACCAATCTTGGCATTGTTCGTTTGTTTTTAGTGGAAGCACCACTAATTGCTAGGCAAGGTAACACAGATCTTATAACTGTGATATGCAACTTCAGTTAGGGGAAGGGAAAAATATAAATGAAAAACTTAATCTAAGGTGTGTTTTATAGTAATCTTAGTCCTAGTTTCTAAGAACCATTCCTATAGTACTCATGGACATGATCCAAATTAGCTTTTTTAAGTACCTTTAAAGTAAACCAAGGACTTGAATAGAACCTGAACAAAAAACTGATTTGACTGTTTTGTTATTTCTGTTTTGTATTGTCTTCCTTAAATTGAAGCAAAACTGATCTACTATTGTGAAGTCTTTATTAAACCTAAATAAGAAACTATCTGTTTTTCTTCAGTGATGCTCTGAACATCCTCTGGAAACAATCTGGGACAACTTCAATCTCCAATGAACCTGGACTTAAAAAAAAAAAAAAAAAAAAAAATAGCGTACTTGGTTCCCTGGTCTCAAATGACTCAGAGCTGAAAAATAAAATTTGAGGGCACTATGTGCTCTGAAATGATGATATTGAATGTGTTAACTGTACACCTGCTGAGCTGCTGCACCTGCCTCTGCTTGTCAGGTCTTCAGCAGTCCTGAGATAAAACACATTGAGCTGGGCTCTGATTACCCAAACCGCCTCTGGGAGCTGAGCACCCCCGGAAATCCCATCAGTGCCTCTTGCAGGGTCAGTGAGTGAGACCAGAGTGGCTGTGAAATCCCACCTGGGTGGGCGGACCTGCCCCATCCCATTTCTGACAGCCTCGCACTGTTTCTGTACTAGGTTTGCAGATCAGTTTGGTACCCGAGCTGCCTTAATTCTCTCCTGTGCCTCTGGAAGTGTCTTCTTCCTGCTCCTGTCCATCTCCACCAGCATTCCCATGCTCTTCCTCTCGAGGCTGCCAGCTGTGTTCATGCATGGGCTACCAGGTAAGGTCAGGCAGAGCCAAGGGACTTTCCAAATTGCTTTTATTGCCTGGTTCCCCGCTTTGTGCTCATGTTGCTGGAAGTCAGCAGCATAAAGGAATATTTATGTGATCAGGCTGAAACAAAGAGGACTTGAAGCAGCACTTGTACTGGTTACGGAAAACAGGGCTGGCTGCCTGTAGTCCCAGCCTGGTCTCCTGCCTGTTTGAGCAAACTGCTTGGATGTCACCACTTGGGCACAGGCACCAAATGCTTGCAGGCAGCAGCACTATCCCAAACTTCTAAGCTGCCTTCTTGCAACCAGGATGTTTTGTAGGAGAGCTTTTCCCTTTCTCCGGCTGAAGTAAGCATATATACCACCTAGTCAGTGATATGTGGTTACAGAAATGGCTTTTACTTCCTACAAAACTGTTCTGATTTAGACTGACTTCCCTAGATGTCTCTGTTAAAAACCACACCACCACCACCTTTAGCTACTGAAGTTCACGCAGCTCATACAAGAAGATTCATGTTGGTAGGGTGTCATCTTCTTATAGTCACTCATGAAGTGGTTTTTGGCGCTGTTTCCTGCAAATATGGACTTGATTAATTCCTCTCACTGGTGTGCATGAGCACAGGGCTGCAAGGACGTTTTGTGGCAGGTAGTGCTTCTGCGGCCCATAAACTTGTACCCACTGCTCCGAGCCCAGAGTAGGCTTCTTCCAAGGTATTTGTTTCCTTGCAGGTGCTCAGAAGGTTATTACAGACCTGACAGCTCCTTCCCAGCGTGCTGATGCTCTGGGGAAGCTGGGTCTTTGCTTCGGAATAGGAATCATCATCGGCTCTGCCCTAGGAGGGATCCTCTCCACCAAATTCGGGTGAGTGATCTGCTCGTTTGGTGTTGGCCTTGCTGCAGCAACTGGGGGAACATTGAAGGGATATTTTGTTATTTTCACCCCTTACCAGTTTTTGATGATACTGTTCTTTGAATGAAGCAGTGTGCCATCTTCTTGTGCCGGGCAAGGGTATGGTATAATTCATAGTGTCCAGAAGGCTTCTCTAACTCTTACTACCAGTTCTTCACTAATTTTTAGGGCCAATAAGGCAAAGAATGCTCCAAACCTGACCCCTGCTGTAAGCTGTCTTTGTGTCCCACTGTGCCACAGCCCCAGGGAGGACTGGTAGTGTTACACCTATGCTGGATAATGCAATTGTAGACCCTCTCTTGCCATGTTGGTGGCAGTAGAGGTTCACATCAGAACTCAATGTTTTGCTTCCCATACCACCACAGAGAACTACTTGCTGCAAAGCAGTGCAGACTTCATAACCTGCTCCTAAGAAATAAAGTTGTATAACTGAGGAGTGGAAATCTGATGCAGTGTGAAACTCCTGCTGATACTGATGTGCTTGGAGGGATGCTGAATACAGAACAAGACCTTGGGGAAGGGGAAAGCACGGCTGCAACACTGGGGGAAAGAGATTGAGGAGGTCTAGCCCTGAGACAGCAGGGTTAGAGAATGAAGCACACATCTTTTTTGCATACTTTCTACTGCCTGATACAGGCAGGCATGCCTGATATAGCAGGCTGTCACCTTTTAGGTGCTGAAATTGAAAAGAAATTCCTGGTTTTACTGAATTTATTAGTCTCTGTTCATTACTGGTGGAGGAAGCTCAAAGAGAGCAGCGTATCAGGGAAATACATGTGGCTGCAATCTTCCTGGGGGAGATGCCCTGTATTTCTGTGAAGGTGCTGGGGGGAGGAAGCCCTTGAGAACTTCTGAGTATATTGCTCTACTTTTCTTATGAACCTTAGCTTCTGTAGATTTAGGTTAGCATGGAAATATTTTCTTTTTCAACCACCGCGAGCATTATAGCTGCTCTGAAGTGTAGGCTAGAGGGTTAAAAAATAATAATAAATAAATCATCGGGGGAAGCTTGTTTTCCAGTCATCATTCTCGTCCTGGGAGCAAACCGTGTGGATGGCAGGGTGCTGTTCCCGCTAGGTGGCACCGTTGGCTTGTCCCCCAGCTCTGCCTGCAGCCGCCTCCTCCGTGAGTTGCTCCCTGACGCGGTTTCATTGACATCCCATCTTTGTGAGCTTCAGGCACCGAAGTCATATGGCAACACTTTTAAATTATTATTATTATTCAGGTCCCGAGGCCTTTTGTAGTGCCATAAGCGCAGTAAAATGTATATAGGAATGTCACCTGGGCATTTTGTATAGGTGCAAGTGGTTATGGTGTTGGGAATCGTGCACAGAGCTCTGAACCCTGTTGTGTATCCACATGCCCTCGTGCTTAGTGATGCTGCTTTGCATCTCACACCTCTGTAAAGGTTGATTAAACAAGAGACGTTAACCTTACTGTGTTAAACAGCAGCTCCTGAAAACTCTGCTGCCTCTGTCTTGGTAGAACCGCAGAAACTGCTGCAGACAAAATTTCATGAGTTTTCTTCCTTCTCCTTGGGTTATTTCCCATGCATCCAGTGGAGGGCAGCTTGAGCTTGCAGTTTGTGCATGGCTGATGGAGCATCCCATCACAGGGATTTTGTGGCTGCTGCTCCTGCCATCCCATAGCAGGACTGGGGAATGCAGTCTGTCAGTCTTCTCCATGAGGATCTGTGCATCCCACTGGGAGGACCGTAGGACTTCCCATGCAAAAGAGGCAAACCCACCCCAATGTGCTGGTGGAGCCTTTTTGGCACCCCCCAACATCCAGAGGGTTGGTGTGGATTTGTAAAAAGCAGCTTAGGGATGAAGGACTGCTCCAAGGAAGCTGCCCTGGGTGTGGGGTAGTCACCTTCTCCATTGTAGAATCCTGCCTTTTCTCTGACCTTGTGCTTAGCTCCTCCACCAGACTTCTGTGCAAAGATTATAGGTGCAATCCACTGATATTTTTTGAAAATATGTTGGCTCAGATCAGTGGTAAGTAGAAACTCAACCCTGCATGCTTCTCCCCCAACAAGCTGGCAAAGCTCTGTGCCATAAAACAGCCCTTGGAGCATCACTGGTGGCTTCTGGCTGTGTCTGAGACCTTGACCTGGAGGGAAAGGAGTGGGTGTCACATTAGGAACATACTCAAGGATCTTTCGTCCTGTAGCTGCATCCCACAGACTGGTTATTAATCATTCCTCCCTGTTTCCCACACTGGTACAGGAAGGCTATGGAGCTGCGTAATCGCTTCCCTTTTCCATAGAAAAGTGACCCAATCTACTTCCTTTGAAAATAAACATTTCTGCCGTGTCATGGAAGAGCAAAGCTGGAGATTTCTGTCCACTCGGCATTCTTCGCCCTCCCTCGCTACAAAGCTGGCCAGCTTTCCCAGTCTGTTGACAGCATTATTCATATGTTAGTAGTGGTTTGTATACAAAAGAAGGGGTAGAAGTCAGTTTCAGTTCCTCAGCTGATGTCATTTTGGTATTATTCCACTGTATTGTATTTACCATTTATGTACTTGACCTAAAAAGCTGGTCTGTTATTGTTTTCTTTGCTAGGATAATATTTATCAACCCTTATTTATTGAGGGAGCCCCAAGAAGGAAGTTGAATGACTTGTTCTGACTTGTGTAGGACTTCTTGGATGTCAGATTCAGACATCCACTCCTAAGCTGTGGCCACCAGCTCCAGCCTTTCCTCTTCTCTGAAGTACTCTGCTTCTCCCCATGTTTTCCAAAACTATGAGTGAAGCTGTAGCAAAGCAATCATCACTGAAATGTGGCTTTGGTTTGTGCAAATCAAAGAGCCATTTGCCAGTTGTCTTCACCCTACTAAACTTAATTTTTGGAGGCCTTACTGTTAATATGTGGCCCAGTCCTCTCACCTCTGAAGAGTGCACACAGCTGTGGAGAACAAGTTGTCTGTGGGCAGCACCATGGTCAGGCAAATTTAAACCACCTGAGGATCAGGTATAAGCCAATTAGCTAAGATTACAGCCATTTGTGATAATTGTCTGGAAGGTGTTTTCATGTTTATGTGCTTTCTTAATTGATGTTTTCTGGTCATTGGACAGTTGGATCAGGATTGTGGATGTAAATACCTAGCTTGAAACTAACTCCTGTAGTTCAGCTGAGGTCTCCAGGTTGCTGGTGAGTCTGCAAACTCTGTCACAGCCCATCCACAAAAGGGGACTGGGAAAAGTAGCTCTGTTTTGTGCTGTGCAAGGGTTTCCCCCTGCCAGGCGCTTACTGGGAAGCTGCTGGGGACCACAGGCTGAAGGCCCGCACCATGGGAGAGGTGGCTCTGGGCTGGTTAGCAGGCTTTTGTGCCGGTGCTGTGGGTGAAGAGTGAAAGTGGAGGGCTGGATTAGTTTTCAAAAGTGGAAAGATGAGCCTAAGGTAGTTAATTACAGAGATCTCATCCTTTCTTCTGGGACTATGATTAATTGCGTTTGGCTTCTTTCTTCTTTCTTTCTAACAAGGACGTACAGAAGCTTTGCTGCATGACCCAAGATTTGTTTGCTTTCTATGGACAAGGAGAGGTTTCTTCATTTTAGTGACTCAGCTTTAGGCTTAAATCTCTTGGAGTAATTATTCTTTTGAACTTGGGATTTTCCTGGCCAAACCCCTTTGGTCTCTTATTTAATATTATTACAACAGGCTTTGGGGATGGTTTTTTCTTTTTCTTTTTTCTTCCTGGCTGTACTATTATCCTTCCTCCTCAAGGGGAAAAGAAGGAGCTTGTTCGCCTGGAGTAGGGAATTGCATTTCTTTTCAATAACCCATTTGAACCATGTCCTCTGGCAGGGAATTTCTCATCGTTTAGCGGCCGAGTGGAAAAACTGTGGGTGTTGAAAGGGCTGAAGGTTGGGAGCTGGGAAGGCAGCAAAGGGTGAGAGGGTTGCACTCTGCTCCTGGACAAAGCGAGGCATTCTGCTGCCTGCAGCCATTCCTGCTCCCTTCCAGAAGAAACTGTGGTATTTCTCTGCCTGGGATGATGTCGATCGGTGGTGCTGGCACAGGCGTTGCTTTGTTCTTTGTGTCAAGGGACTTTGGGAAGAAGGAGGTGGCATCTGCTTGCCAGTAAGCTGTCCCCAAGCTGCAGTGTGGTCTGTCACCATCAGTCAGGCTCTGAGGTTCTGTAGGAGAGATGGGGAGGGAATAACAAATTGGGCTGTTTGTCATGGAGCTGACAGATTAGGGAAGGTGTGGAAAACCTCAGGAAAAAATAAAACCCAGGAGATTCAAGCTATTTCTGTTCATTTACTTTGTTTGACAACTGCTCCATTTTTGGAAGCCACAGGCACAAAGATGGTCTGTAAGGTTTATGTTAACCATCTCTGGCTAGAGGATTATGCACCTCATCCCTCCACAAAGTGTTGGGTCAAAGTTGAGGTCTAGGCCACTTCTGTCTGACATCCCCTGCAGCTGAGCTTTCTAGTTCTAATGACTTGTTTAACCTATTCTTGAACCTAAGGAATGCCTCAGTGCACTTTTGGTGAGTTTACCTAATCTTGGACCTTTACAATGGAGACAGGTGCACCTAAATTTGCTGTTCAGGCTCCAAATGGCTGATGGAGAGTCACAGGCACTCCTACGGTATGATTTACCTCATTATGAAGCAGGCCCAAAGCAGCTCAGGGGACCTGTCTGTCGTGCAAGCTTTCTGTTTAATTTCTGTGTCGCAAAACTTGAGCTCTGGCCATGATAGCTATGCTGGAGTCTAATGTTGCACTGTGAACATGTTGGAAGCCACCAGGATGCATGCCCTGAGCAGTTCCTCTTGTCCCTGCTGCTTTGTTGCAGCAGGCAGGCCTGCAGCAAGCTCATCCCTGGCCCTTCCTGCCTGCAGACCTCAGTCTGACACCTCCTACCACATCTAGGCCACCAATAGTAGGTGTAGGTCTGCTGGCTTACACTTATTTACCCATTTTAAGACCACGCCG